AGATAGAATATTAATATAATATCAACTAAAAAATCCGTGTATAATTATATTATGTTAAAAAATTATCAATAAACCGGTTTCAGGTACATGCCAAGTAATTAAATTCATCGAAAAATATATAACACAGACCGACCTTGTCGAGGGCCAGGCATGACATCGGATCGGGAAGCTTTGCGATTGATAGATTGTTGTTTGCCGATTGATGTGAACTGTTCGTGCTACCAGTATCGCTCTCGTCACCGACATCTTCGTTGTCATTATTTTCGTTTGGCACACAAGTCTGATAGATACATGTAAAAAATAAGATACCCTGCGTTTGTATTCATAATTAAAAGTTTTAAGCATTAATTTACATGAAAAAACTGGTAAAATAAAAATTTCTATCTCTATACTTTGACAAGAGATTTTACAATAGTTTAATTCAAAAATTATTTACCAATATTTTATAATTATAAATTATTTTTATATTACATAACATACTTCTATTTTTGTGCAGTGGAGATAAAAAAAATTAATTTAAAGATTATTAGCTATTTAAGAGATATATAATTATAATTTAATATTGTGTTATAAAATAATGAGATGGTCTTACCTGATTTTCGTTTTGATCAGCCTTTTCGATGTTACCTTCGTTGTCGTCGCGCTGCTGAGGATCTTCATCTTCGCCGTTCGTGCTCTTCTCCCCATCCTCAGCGTCTTCGGCATTGGTGGACGCGACCGAGGCTGGTTTCGTGACCAGTTCCATCGGGACGTAAGGTGGCCCCGCAGCCGTTAACGGCAGTGGCAGCATGTCGGGCCGGTGCAGTGCGCTCAGGGCGAACGCGGCCCTTGGCAGGATCTGCGTCGCGCCGGAAGGCAGAATCGGATGCCTTCGGGCGAGACGCGGGTCACCCCAAAGTTCACCCGCGACGTGAAGACTCCAGATCCCATATTCCATCTAGAATGTGCGTTACGATCGTTCGTTGATGGGATCCACGAAATCGATTCAACGGAAAATTGCATCTAAATCCGATTGCAGTGAGTAAAAAAAGTATTCGCACACAACAAAAACACGTACATACATTGCTTTTGAGAATTGAGATAATGTGACGGTATGAAAAAGAATGTTGCTATATTAAACGCTTTAGCTGATACGCACGTAAAAAGCATGCTTTATGATAAGGGCATGCAGCAATATCTTTTTTCGGAATAGGAACAACTCCCAAAAAAGATGAGATGTGCAAATACTATTTTTATTCACTGTACAGTGTATAAATGTGTCTTTTCGATAAAATTGACCGCTACATCGAGAATATGTGACTAAAATGAAATAAGTTCATCTTTTGAGGTTTTCAGTTTTTTTTTTTTAAGATATATAATCTATTATAGAAAATATAAATCTGATACCTAAGTCTTCAACTTTTTCCCTAGTACTTGGTATATTTATGAAATCGGTAATGTCAGCTGTCACGTGCAGACGCGATTCGAATATAAAATTAGAAATATATCCTGAACCTAATAAAGATTGAATCACTTGGAAACGATGCTCGAGTACTCATTATGTTTGTATGGATTGCACGGTATAAAAAGGGTGAAGGGTAGGGAGCGAGAAGAGAGAGAGAGAGAGAGAGAGATTAGTGGTGGCCCTCGAATCAATACTTACGTGCAATTTTCAAGCGAGCCGAGTATTTGTTACTTATATATAAAATCATTTTATTTATGCCTAATGCTTTTTATCGAATCGCGTGCATTTAATTAAATCGTTAAGAAATGTTTAAACGTGTACCAATCAATGTGCATCAATTAAGTCTATTTGCAAACAGTGTATCACTATGTCAATGTATTTCTTTAAATATGTGTTTTGTATTTTTTTTTAGT